TACACTGTTGGTGGGACTGCAAATTGGTGCAACCACTGTGGAAAGCAATATGGAGGTTCCTCAAAAAACTAAAAATAGAAATACTATTTGACCCAGCAGTCCCACTCCTAGGAATTTCCCCAAAGAAAACAAAATCCATGATTCAGAAAGATACATGCACCACTATGTTTGTTGCCACACTGTTTGGAATAGCCAAGATATGGAAGCAAACTACATGTCCATCAGCAGATGAATGGTAAGGAAGAGGTGGTACATATACACAATGGAATATTATTCAGCCATTAAAAGAAAAGAAACCCTGCCATTTTCAATGACATGGATGGACCTAGAGGGCGTATGCTCAGTGAAATAAGCCAAGTGGGGAAAGACAAATGCCATATGATTTCACTTATTTGTGGAATATAGAAACAAAGCAAAACAGAGGGAACAAAACAGCATTAGATTCATAGACACTGAGAAATGACTAGTGGCTACCACAGTGGAAGGCAGTGGGCTGGGATGGTGGGTCGGTGGAGGGGAACTATTGAACCACTGTGCTGTACATTTGATTTAAAAAAAAAAAGGCAGCACTCAGGCTCCCTGTGTGGACAAGGGATTATACAAGAGCAGAGGAAACCCAGGGACAGGTTAACAGCTCCAACAACAGGGTCAGAGGAAGAGAAGACATTTTCAAGGTCTTTGCTGGAGTTTGGAGGTCACGACATACTCTATTTTACAACTCAAATTTACACATGTGGAACAAAACATCCTGCAGAAAGACCAAAGCATAAGAAGTAGAGATTACTTTCCAGGGTCCTGGACACATTAGCATTAATCCAGTACCAAACCAAATCCTACAGAACACTCCAAGCTACTTCCAGGAGTCCTGCACCCATTTCATATAACTAAGGAATGGCCAAATTATCCCTTCACTTCTTGCAGGGTCTTTTCTTCCCAGCAAGTTTTCAGGGTGGTAAAGAAAGCCAGGCTGTGACGTCAAAACCCAAAGTTCACTGACAAGGATAGGTAATGCTCAGTGTCCTCACTTAGACCCAGCCTGCCAATTAGCTGGTCCTTGGACCGTTTTTTTTCTAGGGAACCATTTTGGGAGAGAAACACCCTGCTTAGCATATGCTTATTAAAGGCTTCAGTTAAAAACACTCACACACACACACACAAAAAAAATACATGCAAAGCATTCCAGATTATTCATGTGCATCTGTCCCCCTAAACTGCACTCAAGAGATGGAAGCAGAACATAGAGGCTGTGATGAATATCACACAGTTTACAACGAGTAAATGAATGACTTTCATTGTAGTAGGAAACCAACTACATATTATACACACATTTCTTCTCTTAAAACCACACTATCCACATGGTAAATATTGCTTCAATAAACAATATTGCGGTCAGATAAACAAATTTTGTATATACTCCTTATAAACCACCCAAGACATGAAATCATGAAATCTAAGGTAAGCTACCTATTCAGCATTTCCTGAGTATACTGGAAGCAAACAATAAAGGTAAATATGGCCATCAATAGTTATATACTTTGTAGCACAAGCTCTGTAAATGGTCTTGTTCTCTTTTGCATTTGTACTGTGAAAATTAATTTTGCACTTAAAATACAAAATGAAAAGAGATGTTGTTTAGCCTTGAGGAGTCATATCATCACTTCTATCTTCATCCCCATTAAGGTTTTCAGCTTGAGGTTGTAATGATTTATTACAATACACCATAATGACACAACTGCATGACAGCTGCCTCAAATGTTCCTGGGCCTCCTTGACTCCTTGCTTGTTAAGACTCAGCTGTTTGAAGACTTCCCTCACCCTTTATGGTACAGCTGACCCTCTACCCATTCTCCCTTCTCGGCCACCTGTCCCTTGTATATCTCTCTATACAGATTTACAACTGCTTGCCCTTCCAGACTAGGAGTACCTGATGCTTTGTACACGCAGGTTCCTAAAAGAGCCGGACACAGGGAAGGTCTCAAATGCTCATGGAAGGAAATCACTGAGTTAATGAATCTGATCCATCCAACCACTATAGTTTTTAATTTTTTCCACGTGCAATATCCAAAATGTTAAAGACCCTCAATTCAATGGTATTTCAGGTAATTCTCCAGTTTCTCTCATTCCTTTCCATTGCCTGATAGGGGATTTCTAATTTGAAGTACAACACTGCTTAGAGGTTGTTTATGAGACCAATTTTAAGAGTAAATGAGAATATTGCTTGCTGCTCAGGTGTGCACACTTGGCTTTGTATAGTTAGTTTGAATTAGATTAGAAAAAGCCTTTACTCCCCAAATTCATATTCTATAGTGCCATGTCACTCTATCACTCTTGCTGTTGATATTCACATCAGGCATCACTTCTATAAAGGACCCCCTTCATCCTGATAAAGGCAGATGCCCTTGGCAAGGGCAGAGAGAGTCTGTGAGTTAAATTCGTCATTCCGGAATAAATTATTTAACACCACTTAAGACCTGAAAGCTTTGAGCCACCAATCTTGTGGTTTATGGCACTCTCTTCTACGTTTACAATTTCCTGATGGCGAAGCAACAATTTAATTCCATAGTGCAAAATCAATACAATTTAAATTCACTGTTAAAACTGACATTCTCTAGCGAGCTAAAATAACTGACATAACTGTAAAGCGGTTTTTACAAAGAGGTAATTAGGAACCATTCCAGAATTAAGAAACGAATTATTCTTACTGAACTTAAAGGGAAGATGTTTTTACATCCCTAGGGGTGAGTCAGATCCACAGCAACACCTAAACAACGGCCACACAGACTAGCTTTGACTAAACTCCATTGAGGGCCTAGATTCTGAACATCAGACCATCCTGGAAATACGAAGAGCTTACTGGTAGTAGCAAGAAATAGCCAATTGGCTTTTTAAACGTATTCTTTGACTACTTTGGGGTTTTTATCAGACAGGAATATCTTCCATCTTTTTCTCTCTAAATTATATTACTAGTACAACTATGAGTAGGAAAGTTTGGTAGAATGGTCAACACTTCCAGTGTTATTTATCTAGAATGATCATGGACCGGTCGCTCATTTGTTGCGTGACAAAAGCTGGTGTTGTTTCAAGCACAACAGCGACAAATCTGTAAGCGGCCCGCTTCGCCCCAATGAACGAAACAGAGTGGGAAAGGCAAGAAGAAGGAAGGATTGAAAATAACATTCAACCTATAGCGAATATTGATCGTCTGCTCTGTGTAAGACCATTGGCGGCCGACCGCCTGAAGAAGGGCGAGCTGGGGGCGACTGAACCCTCAGATTCAACAAGCTTCCCGAGCGCATTCAATCCACCTGCACGAAACTCGTTCCCTTGCACCTGTCATTAGAAAGGCGTGTTTCTCTTTCAACTAATCAGAGGAGCGAACAGAAATACTGAATTTAAAAAAAAAGAAAAAGCAGCAGCCTAGTGTCAGACCAGAAGGGAGCGTTCACCAGCAGGTCTGCAACCCCATTACTCAACAGACAACTGGGGTTCCCTCCCGTCCACGCCTGTGTCCACGGCGCAATCCAAGGACAAGAGGCGGGATCCAGCAGCATCCCAGGCGAGGCCTGATGCAGCAGCTGGAGAAAGGCCGGCCTCCGCGAACCCGGAGATGCTCGGCGCTGCCTCACCACCCACCGTCGCTGGGCGGGCACCGCGAGGAGGCCAGGCCGCCCGCCCGCTCAGCATCCGAGCTCCCGCTCTCCCCACGCGCGGCGCCCGGGCCACCCACCTTGGGCGTGCGGATGTGCTCCATGGCTCGCCGG